CCTTCTTAATCACATTGGTTGCTTGTTCTGCAGCGTCGGATATATTTTCACCGAGATATTTTACACGGGCAGCGACGTCGTGGGCAGTTGCGTATCGTATAAAATACTTTTTAAAATAATAAAATATTAATACTATAAATTTTAAAGAAATTTATGTAAATAAAGACATTTACATCGCCATCTCCAGTTCCGCTAACACCACAAGTCTCATTGTCTGCCCAAGTTCCGGCTGCAATCATGGATGTATCGCTAATACGACCATCTTTCTTATTAGCCTTACCACCTTTTAAGTCATAATAATAATTCAAAAATCATCCCAATAAATCAGCAACCAAACAGAAAACATACCAGTCGAAGTAGCAACCGCAATAATTCCATCTTTATCAACGGCAACAGCTCCCACGTTTCCCATTGATCCAACCTCCTTCTCCAAAATAATATTTGATTCTTTCGCGTCAATTTCCGTAGGTGATAATATATTTCCTGGTTGTTTTTTCAATCCTTCCATATGTTGTTCCCATCGTCGTTCAGTCCAAAAATATTTTTGATCAACTAATTTCAAGCCTTTTTCTCGCGCGTATTCTTCTGCTCGTTGAGCACCTAGAAACACGTTTGGAACTTGTGGGTCAAGAAGAATTTCTTTGGCTAGTTTTATTAGATTTTTTACGGTGTGGAGTAATGTGGCAGCACCGGCCGGGTGATCTGGCGTACCGATCATGACTGAGGCTTCGAGTTCAATCTTAATTTTTTTTATAAGTTTAGCTTTTTTACTAATAGGAAAAGTGTAGTAGATTATACATGTATATATTTTACCTTTCCATCACGAGTGAACACAGATCCTTTCCTAGCATTGAACAAGGGAAAATCTATTACCAAAAAATCTAATCAATATTTTTGTTTTTAAATTCTTACTATAAATCTTTTTCTCACCTTCCATAACACAAACAGCCTCTACGACAGCATCCAAAGAACTCCCACCATTCTTTAAAATCTGATGTCCAGCAAAAAGTGAATTTTTTAATGCCTCATGAATCTCTTGTTCTAATTTAAACGCATCTCGAGGAACAATTCCAACATTTCCAGCGCCACCGTGGATAATTAGTGTAGGTCCATGATTGATGGTTTCCTTTTTTTCCTTTGAGTTGTTAGTTTAATAGAACTCAAACAAATGTAATTATAAGCGAATAAAAAATCACCCTTAGTTCTGACATATTGATAATTGTT